GACAATAACCTGGTAAAACCAGGTCTGGCGGCTTAATTTGACTGCCATTAAATTATGAAAACCGTATAGTTTGAGAAACATATAAAATAACATGAGAAGCACTCGCTAACTTGAAGCATATTTATTTTTCCAACAAACAACAGCAGAACAGATTTTTTTTTTTTAAATCTTGTGTCTGACAATTCTAAATCTGGATTGCTAAGGAAATAAAATTGCTTAAACAAATAGCATAAGATTTATATGAAACATGACCAGATAACTTCCATTTATACTTAATAACTGTCTCTATAGTAATACAACTAGTACGCCAGTTGTAAGAACTACAAAAAAAAAAGGATAATTCTTTAAAAGAAATACCTTTGTAACTATTTTTTATTAGTTTCAAGGACAAACTGCTTGATTCTCAAATTTTATTCTGAGAACAACAAAATTCCATTGCTTTTTACCATGCAACATAGATAATGAGAAGAAGAAATATACACATTATTATTTATTTTATTATTTAGTATTTTCGTGCAGGAAAAGCACAGTAGCTTTGGTAAACAAACCAATGACATTATGACATGTACCTGTCATTCAAAAATGACAAAGTATCATACTGTGGAATTAAAGTGGATTTACAGAGGATTTGGCAGACGCCATGTTGCTTCAAGACATGCAAAGACAATAAGACTGCATGCTTACATTCTGTAGGCAGCTTATTTATCAAGTATTGTTTGATGAAAGGGGACACCTGCAAAATATAGTTAAAGTATTTTCTATATATATGTCTAATTATGCCTAAAATTTACAGCCCCCTTGACAATCTCTAGAATGTGTAAGTAATTAATTTCCAGGATGTGCTAGGAATTAACGAGTGAAATTAGATACCAACATGAAATATAATGCCATTTTGCCTTAAGGGGTCATGCAAACCACTCAATCCCAAAATTGTGAAGATGGCACCAGTCTGTTCTGCCTCTGAAGCCTCGTACTGGGCTTGTTGATGGGCTGAGAGCGTCCGCTCACACTTTCATCGTATCATTAGATCCCCAGTCACAAAACTGTGTGAGGTACATTCCTTTCTCACACAGGTTTGAAAACGTCAGCTGGCTCTCATCTTATTAGTGGCAACCAGTCCAAAGCTTCCACATTGACACTGTAGACCAGGGGGCAGAGCTGACGAACAGGTTCTTTAAAGTTGAAGGTTCATGTAGCTGTAAGCCAAATTATTTATTGTCATTCATTTTTTCTTGTGACAGAAACAGTTTAAAAAGTTATGTTTTAATATTAGAAGTCCTCTTGCTGCTTGCTGGTAGTGAGTGAATAAACCTTCACACACCTCTAAAAGAACGTTGCTTGTACCACAATTTATACATTAACAGGTTTACTATACATTGTGTACAGAAAGAGTCCTGATTGTATCAGTATATGGAGAAAAAAGTTTTTTAAGTGGCCACATTCGTTCGTTATATCTATGTCTATCTGTCTGTCTATCTAGCTCTTTGAAGGTACTACCTCTCTGTCCTACACTAAGAGCAAATATGGTTGTCCCAGGGGAAGCAGGTATTTTTCAAAAAAGACCACTATAGGCACCCAGACCACTTCAGCTCAAAGACATGGTCTGGGTGCCAGGTCCATCTATCTAGTATTAACCATGCAGCTGAAAAAGTTTCAGAGAAACTTCTATGTGTCACTGAGGGTTAATCCAGCCTCTAGTGGCTGTCTCCCTGACAGCCGCTAGATGCGCTTCCGCGCTTCTCACTGGGAAAATCACAATGAGAAGACGCTGGACGTCCATAGGAAAGCATTGAGAAATGCTTTTCTATAGGCGGTTTGAATGTGCCCGTGGCTTTTCCCACACATGCGCATTCGGCGCTGACGTCGGCAGGAGGAGAAGAGTTCCCAAGCGCCGAGGGAGCCCATCGCTGGAGAAAGGTAAGTGGCTGAAGGGGTTTTAACCCCTTAAGCTCAGTGGGAGTGGAACCCTGAGGGTGGAGGGGACCTAAAGATCCTATAGTGCCAGGAAAATGAGTTGTTTTTTTCCTGGCACTATAGTGGTCCTTTAATGTATACATTTCAACTGTCACTTCCTGTTCCTGCTGTGGATCATTTCTGGCAATGGCTTCTGGTATCCAGTACTCTTTTTACAATTCTTGTTTAGTTTTTCTTGTTTTTTCTGGTTTTCTATTCTATGTCTGGTTTTCTTTATGCTGGATTTTCTGGGTTCATTCCTTTATTTCATTCCTGGAATTCCCAGTCTCTTGGATTCCTTTTAATGTTTGTTTTTTGTTGCTACACCCATTCCTTTGCCATTAATCCTTTTTGTTTCAGTGTGGTCCTGCAGGCAGTGGTTTCATTTCCTCTGCTCATTACTTTGCAGGTAAGTGTTGTGTGTGTTTCATTATTGTTTATTTAGTCATGCATCTCTAGGTAGTTAGGACCCACCGTAATTGGAGTACTTTGGCGCAGTGGTGGGCTGTATACATCTTGGCCATTTATGCATGTCTAAATCTACAATGTTTATTACACATATTATTACTTTGTTATGTCTCCTCTTGTTTTGCCTTGTATCTCTTGTCTTGTCTTATTTTGTCTTCCCAGTTCATGTACAGTCCTGTCCCGTCCATGCCTTGTTCTGGTTTCCCTCATGTCTTGTGTACATGTTCTGGACTCTGCTTTCTGTCCTGCTTCGGTTCTGGGTTCGTCTTGTCTAGTCTTGTCTTGTTATCTTGTTTGGTGCCTGTTCTAGTCTTGCCTTGTTTCTAGTACTAGATACATATCTGCTGCAGAGCCATCCTGAGAGGTCTGCATATTTTCTCCTCGCTCCTGGGATCCACAGAAGCTGCATCAGGGCCCTGGTATGTGGCCGTACAAACCCTGGTGCTCAACACCAGGGGGGGGGGGGTGGTTACCCTATACCAAGCCCTGATTTTTTTCATTTCCACAAGGTTGACTCCTATCATCATCAGGCACACAGGGGTCCCGTTCTCCGTACCGCCAACCGTGACATCAACTACCTCCTATTTTGGAGTTATGAGTTTTATCAACGGAAACGCATGCTTATGTGAGTGCAAAGTGACATATACTATACTAGTGATTAGTCTTCATTTTGCTTCAGACTTACACCAGCTTTTGCCTTGTTAAATATCCCTGACAGTCACCAAATCAACTTTGTTCTCCTTTTTCTTTTCAAATGTCCCTTCTGGACAACTGAAAAATTGGAACATTGAGCAAGATTGAAATGACCCTGCATTTCATTAACCCACCACATAAAGATGCAAGGATGCCATAAATAAAGACAATGGTGGGAGTTTTAGAGATTGGTAGTATTCAGAACTAGGGTGGGTTAAGGTTAGAAAGACTTATGGTGAAGACTATTGGGGGACTATTGATTTATTTATACAATATTTTATTAGGAAGGATACATTGAGATTTTTCTCATTTTCAAATTTGTCCTGGGCCCACAAACACTGCATTGTTAGGGTATAATATAATGTTACAAAAAATAATACAATATACAATATATATACATCCACACATATATAAATTTAACACATAACAGGTGTTAAATATAGTCAACCATGACATGTTGAGGTATGTTGTCATAGATTTCTTATGGTGAGAACATTTTAAGATTAACCCCTTAAGGACCAAACTTCTGGAATAAAAGAGAATCATGACATGTCACATTTAAGGGGTTAAAGGGATTTAGGGTTAGGTCTTCCTGTCTTAAAGGTTATGTTCACTGTAATTTTATGGCAAGACAGGAGGCTTCATATTTGCTTAATCTTTCTTTACTGAACCTCCCAGCAGCAAAGAAATAGTTAACAGTAGTGTAAGCAATTCAACCAATCAGAGTGTATATCAGTATTATATCACATTATGAAGCTCCTCCCAATTCCTCTTTCTTTGCTGCTTGCCTCCCAGGTGAGTCTATTCCAATTATATGGCTATAACTTTATGCCTTTAATACTAATTTTGATTACCTTCCTATCTACCTTTTATATTATTTGATTAATTATTTATTCATAGTCTCTATTTCATCTTTTCAACATATGTCAATTTGGTGTTTTTTTCCTACACATTACAGACTCTTGTCCATACCTTATTTCACTGATATTTTCAATTTGCTATTTACCCAGCGTTTCTCTTTAAATCACGGACTTTTTCCGCGATTTATTTTCTCAGGCTATCGCTTAGTCTTTGGCCTGGTTTTCCCAGCCGCGGTATTTCTCCGTTTAAACACCGCGGCTGGTTTCTACCACTTCATTCAATAACTGCCGCGGACTCCAATTCCCAGGAGTCCGCGGCTCAGTCCTTCGCGCCCTTTTCGGCTCCCCCCCCTTGCCGCGTTTGTATACTTACCAGGCGCGCTTCTTCCCGCCTTCTGTTAGCGGCGGCCATTTTCTGCGCAGTCCCTTCGTCTCTCGGCGCGCTTGCACCCTCTACCGCCGGATCCGGTAAGTACAACGTTTATTTATTTATTTTCTAGCACTCTTAAAGTGCCAATTCCCCTTTTACAGTTTTTTTCATTTAGTTTATTTTTTCTCTTTACAGGTTCAATTAACAATATTCCTGATATTATTATTAATAAAGTGGCCTTTGTGGGTGACCCCCACCTTATAATTCTATTACTCTGTACTTGAGTATTTATTGTGGGTGACCCCCACCTCTATAACCATTCAGGTGTCCTAACACTGCCATTCAAGGGTGACCCCCACGTCTAATAATCAGTGTTTAAAGTGATCCAACACTTTTCATATTAAGACATAACCACCTCTCTAATTATTTTAGTGGTGAACCCCACTTACTATTATTACAGTGGTATAACCCACTTGTGTATTTTAGTGGTAACCCCACTATTTATTACTGTGCCGCCCTTTACTCATTTATTGCGCTAGTATCTTGGGTGACCCCCAATTTAAAATATTTTACTTAATACTGTTGGGTGATCCCCATTTTATACGATATTTCTTTAACTTTTGACTATTGGACAAATTTTTTCAAAAAAGACAACCATGTCTGATAATACCGAGCCAGCAATTTCACAAGAACTGAGAGCTTGGCTGGTCTCTACTATTGCCGAATCTATTCCCAAGGCGTTAGCAGCCTTCCAGGATAGGACTTCTACCGAAGTCAACCCTACCACACGCTTGCCTTCTGATTCCGAGGACTCCCAGCCCTCAGATCAAGAAACCACACGCAAGCGCCCCTGGAAAGGGGATAGTAGGTCTGCTGGCAAGGGCAAGGCTCCTGCCATGTCTGCCCCTCAATCCGCCCACGTAACCTCCGATCCCCTAGAGGGCTCTGCATTCCACACGGACGATAGGGTTGAGGACTATTACCTTGGCTTTTCTGATAAGGACCCCTCAGCGAATGCGCTAGGGGATACCCCATCGGAATTTGTCAAGGAGACTTTCCTTTAATCCAAAAGACACTGATACTAAAGCAACAACGCAGAAGGGAACCGACTCAGACATCCTTCTGGATGCCTCGGGTGTCCCCTTTTTTGATCCCAGAATCATCAGGCATCCACGATCTGCCGAATGGTCCCCACCGGACCATATCGCTAACTTCTGTAAGATGTGGTTACGCAAACCACTTGATAAAGAAATCAGGGCGAAACTCAGAGCCGAGTGCCCTCGACCAACCATCCCAAATAAGGTAGCTCTCACACCAGAGTTCGACCCATTATTTGTAACCTTCCTCACTAAGACAGGGAAGGATCCCCGCAAGGGAATTGAACAGGGCCTCAAGACAGCCCAAGATAAACTTCTGGACATATCTGGTCCAATTGTTCAAATCTTCATTCTGGCAGACGAAGCCATAACCAGTGGGGAGTTTGACCCCAATACAGTTAGAGAATGGGCCCAGAGATCCTTATGTCTCCTGGGCAACTCAAATGTGGCTATATCCACTGAGAGGCGCAGGGCGGCACTATACAAGCTAGATGCTAAACTAGCCGATCTGAGCTCCCGAGAACTGGGACCAGAGGCCAATGGTTTGTTATTTGGAGACTCATTTATGAAGGATCTCTCCAAACATGTAGCTGTATTTACTACACTCAATAAGGCCCAATCATCCCTACGCAGGGTTTTTCGCTCCCAGTCAACTTGTTTTTCTGGGAGAGCTGGATGTTTTAGAGAGTGGGCAGAGCTGCCTTCACAGGCTACAGGCCTCGCCCAACAGAGAGCTATTGGCAATCGGGACAACCCCGACCCTATCACAGACAGTTATTCACGAACAGAGGATCTATCCGGGGACGTGGTTCTGCCTCCCTTCGCGGACGAACTGCTCAAGGCCGGGCCGACTAACCCATTTTTTCCCACAGTGGGAGTTACTGTCACAAGACCTATGGGTCCTACACACAGTCCAAGGGTTCACAATAGACTTTCTCTCCACTCCCTTCCAGGACACACCTCCTACACCACTACAGATGTCCACATCAGACAATCCGACACTGCAAACAGAATTGCACAAATCCCCTTTTCCTCAAACTTTTCTCAGCAACATATTTTTGGTCCACAAAAAAACTGGAGACCTACGTCCAATCATCAATTTAAAAGACCTGAATCGCTTTGTCAGGTACCGTCATTTCAAGATGGAAGGCATCCATCTTCTCAGGGACCTCCTTTGCGTGAGAGATTGGTTCTCCAGATTCAATCTCAAAGACGCATATCTCACAGTCCCTATTGCTCGCAATCATCGAGCTTTTCTCCAATTTCCCTGGCAAAACAAAATCTGGCAATTCCCGTTCGGCCTTTGTTCCGCACCATGGTGTTTCACCAAACTGATGAAACCAGTGATGGCGTTACTCCGATCTCAAGGGATTCGGTCCATCATATATTTGGACGACATCCTGATAATGGCTCAGGATTCAGACCTCTTGCACAAACACACGGACATGACAACAGCCTTGCTCCAAAACCTAAGGTTTGTGATCAATTTTCAGAAATCGGACCTCGAACCTTCTCAAAAGGTTCAATTTCTCGGATTTCTAATAGATTCCGTACAGGCGATCCTACAACTCCCCACCACAAAGGTAAAATCTATAAAGAAAGAGATTTGCAAACTACTGTCAGCCCACCAGATTCGCCTACGCGACCTGGCCCATACCATAGGCCTTTTGTCCACCTCTATCCAGGCCATTTACCCAGGACCTTTACACTACCGAGCCATGCAACGGCTCAAAACACACTATCTACACCGATCCACTTCCTAAGATCAGTACATTTTCCTGACAGACGAGGTTCGGATAGAACTTCACTGGTGGCTTCACAACATGGAAGCCTGGAATGGCAAAGCCATTTTCGGATCGCAACCGGATTTCATTCTGGAATCCGATGCCAGTCTTCTGGGATGGGGCGCCACGTGCGCCGACGAGTCTACCGGGGGGGCTATGGTCCCCCTCGGAACAAGCTCTGCACATCAATTGCCTAGAATTGATTGCAGGATCTTTTGCGATTCGCAGTTTCGCAAAAGATTGTTTCAACTGTTCACTAGTACTGCGCATGGACAACGTCTCTGCAGTGCGCTATGTGAATCGGCTAGGAGGTTCCTGGTCCAAACTACTATCAGACTTTACCAAGGAACTCAATCAGTTGTGCCTAGAACGGAATTTATCCATCAAGGCGGAATACCTTCCAGGCACGGACAACTTAGTCGCAGACTGGTTCTCTCGCCATTGGAGAGATGTGAGCGACTGGCAATTGGATCCCTGCTTGTTCTATCAAATTCTTTGCCTTTGCGGGCCCCTCACTCTGGACTTGTTCGCATCGCGACTAAATCGCCAGACCGAAGCCTTTATCAGCTGGCTTCCAGATTCCCAATCCTGGGCAGTCGATGCCTTCCTACACCCTTGGCCGGAGACAGGAGCCTATGCGTTCCCGCCTTTCTCCATGATCCAACGCACCCTTTACCGGGTCAAAGCCCTAGTAGTAACAATAGTCATTGTCACCCCGTTATGGAGAGCCCAGACCTGGTTGCCCAATCCTACTACCCCGATTCCCCGACATCCTCAAGAATCCAGCAGGGCATTGTCACCCTCTCGCCCTTCAAGGACGGCTCCAACTTGTAGCCTGGACCATTTCAGGGGATCCTGAAATGTCTCAGGACTTTCTGAAAACGGCTCAGGCGCTCCTATGGGACTTGCTGCATGGCGAGCATGGGTCAGCTGGTGTCTGGAAAGGGACACCGATCCCTTTTCAGCTCCTTTGACGAAAATCCTTAATTTCCTGTCTACCTTATTCGATCAAGGCAAGTCCTATAGATCGATTAATGTCTTTTGATCAGCCATATCCGCGGCTTACAATCCTATTGACAACGCATCAATAGGAAAACACCCCTCAGTTTGTAGACTGTTACATGGGATCAGGCTAGCCAGACCCCCTCTGCCTAAATATTCAAATTTCTGGGATGTCGCTCAGGTTTTTTCCCTCTTAGAATCTTGGCCCTCTAATGAGAACTTGACGTTACGTCAACTTTCTGCCAAACTAGCCCTACTCCTATGTCTAGTATCCTTCCAATGGTCTCCGACATTAGAGCATTCGATTTCCACGCTATAGTTTTCTCGCCGGAAGGCGTTATATTTCGCATCACTAGGCGAACTAAGACTAACTCTCCCTCTGTATTCTACCCCTATTTTCCCAATAGACGGTCACTCTGTGTGGCGCTCTGCTTAAGGCACTATATAGCTGCCACAACCGCTCTGCGTTCCCCTACAGGACCCCTTCTCGTGTCCTATGTCAAACCACACAAACCAGTGTCCGCTCCCACAGTCGCACGGTGGATCAGATGGATACTAACCCAAGCTAACATCGACCCCTCCTTTGGCGCGCACTCAGTCAGAGGAGCAGCCGCATCCTCAGCCTTTCGTGCAGGTAGCTCTCTCTCAGACATCTTATCGTCGGCAGACTGGTCCAGGGAATCCACCTTTCGGACATTCTATTTCAAACCTAGGCCACACGCTGCATCTTCCATTATACAGGAGCGTTAAAACAGCAAATAGGAAGCCTCCTGTCTTGCCATAAAATTAGGGATTATTCTAGCCCTAGTGACTGAATAATCTAAATTTTATTAACGACAGGAGGAGAATATTTTCCCACCCTTGTCGCCTGTACCAGGTCGACCCACCCTGAGGTAAGTTACTATCTCCTCCTACTCGAGATGTCTCACACACATTCACTCATTATCTGTCAGCTGTCAGGTTTACATCTCATTACTCTAACCGGTAATTTCATATACTTCACATCATTTCCAAGAAATACATTGAAACTATCTGTCACTCCCTACTATACGCGCTTTAAACTTGCACTCACCTAGTATGAGAACCTATACTCTCATGATTTTCTTTTTTTCTCCTTTAGTGTGAAGAATCTTAACGCTTACTTGTAACATATGGATTCATCAACCCATTTAAGGTTTACATGGTTGACTACATCAGAACCACGACTTAGTCCACAGTTCCAGTTTCCAGTTTCAGTTCCAGTTTACATGGTTGATACTCAATACTGTCGGCTACAGCAAGAAAGAGGAATTGGGAGGAGCTTCATAATGTGATATAATACTGATATACACTCTGATTGGTTGAATTGCTTACACTACTGTTAACTATTTCTTTGCTGCTGGGAGGTTCAGTAAAGAAATATTAAGCAAATATTCGCCTCCTGTCGTTAATAAAATTTTGATTATTCAGTCACTAGGGCTAGAATAATCCCTAATTTTCATGACTGTCAGGGCAGCAAAGCCATTGGAACAGCAAAACAGTGAGTTGTAGAAATATGACTAATGGATTTCACAATCTGAGAGAAGATAGAATGTCAAAAAAATAGAATATTCTAACTATGTTAAATTGGAGATTTTTTTTGTATCTGTGATTCTAGCCTAAATTTTGGAAGTCAGGTCTCCTCTGGGTTAACTCCTTCTATGTTATCCACTACAGTGAGCATTCAAAGTGAATGCAAAGTTAATCGCAAATTCAAGGTACAAAATAAAACCAAACACTGGAAAATTTCTCTGTCAACTATGCTTCATGCTTGACTACTTTGGCCTTCAATTTAAAATTCACTCTAGTGAATGACCCTAATTGTTTAGTACTGTGAAGAAAATAGACTTATTTTCTGCATTTTCTTCTGCTCATTCGTGACTTTCAGCTGTATTCCTTTATTTGGGATTTTATTGGTAGATTAAACTATCGAACACCGACCACCCTCCTGGCTCATTACCTTTAAAGGGAACCGTCTATTAAGTGCTCTCTGGGTGGCCGCCGTTCGTATATGCGAATGCCACGTGGAAGAGAAAACAGTGGCCATCTTGTTTTCACGAAAGGAGGCAGCGGGACTTGGTCGTCGAGTGTCTGGAACTAAAATTGGACACTCGACTTCCCGAACCACCGCTGAAGCATACAAACGCCTGCTTCCTTTTGTTG